AGTGCAAGCAATACTGGAAGAATTCATATTATAATGCTTTGATACTATAATCCAAAATTCAATCCAAACAATAAAAAAAATAGGATCAAGTAAAATGGCACCAGAAAAAAAGAACAAGAACAAAATGGAATACCAAACAATTAGATGGATGTCTCCACAAAATAAAAACTGCACATTGGCATAAAAAGGTAGTACAAAATGTCTGACTTACCGATCGGTGATTTGACCTTTGCCAACCCGACAATCGTCGCCCAGAAGCTGTGTGTCCCCTGTGAGATCGGCCAACCTCTTACCGCACGAGCATAGAACCTGATGTCCTCGAGTCACAAAGAAGCAAGTTTTAGTTCCTAGATTGCCTTCCGCCTAAATAGAAGAAACAACACTCTTATTAAAAGGTACAGTACTATACTACTTCTTCAGTCAGAAGCCGTAACAATATTTCACGAATCGTTCTACGATTTATAATTATTTTATCTTTCTTGCCCAAATATCAAACTGGTATAAACCAACTTCAAGGTACGGTACAAAAAATTGCTTTGTAATATTTCCACTGCGCCCTATGAAGGTAACTTCTGTCTCTCTCCCCACGATCTAGCAGAGAAACGGCAAGAAATCTGCCAGCGAGAAATTAACTGTTTAGGCAGTCACTTCACTTTCCAAATCACTTTCGGATACCACTCTACTTACGATTTACCGTATGTAAAAACACCAGACCGCAATTGAAACAGTGACAAAAACGGGCCGCCACTTTCGTTTTTGTTGCAATGGCTTCCTCCGTTCACACCCTGCAGCAACAAAGCAAATGGGGTTTGCTTGATGGCGTCCGATTCGATTCCCTGAAAACGCTGACCAATCTATTCCTCACTACGAGCACTCACTGACACCGTCTCGCACAGCTGCCGATTTCACTATTTTTCACGCGTGAAACTAGAAAACTTTTAGTAATTTTTAATTTTTTTTACTCGCCGCCAAATGTAAGTTGCTTCCGTATATCAATAAAAACAACTTTTCAGTTCACTGATCAGAACAAGACTGAGCCATCGGCCCAACTGTATTTCGTATTTATGTTTACATTTTCGATGTTTTTGGCTCCTCGGTTTCGCTCGGTTATAACTGCAAGAAACACGACAACAGAAAACTAACTGGAAACAAGTAATACACTTCAGGTTTATTTCCTCTATGCTCCTGATTGTATAAAATTTAGAAAAACATCGCGGATCTCTAGGTCTACTTTCCGGAATTGACCATTTTTTTCCCGGTGAATCCGGATATCCAGAAGGGCATTCAATAACCTCTGCAGAACCAAATCAATATGGCACTGACATATATCTTCTCAACTAAGGGTTCTTCACATTTTTTTTAAAAACTTACGGATCTCCAGGTCAATTTTTTAGAATTTACTATTTTACCGGTGATTCCGGATATCCAAAGGACCGTATTCTGGCCACCCGATAGCAAAATTGATATCTTGATGTCATATTTTCTCTATGCTAATGATTGTATGCAATATAGAAAAAAATCGCGGATCTCTAGGTCTACTTTCTGGAATTGACTATTTTCAAGGTGATTCCGGATATCCAGAGGACCGTTTTCTGGCCACATGGTTGCAAAATCGACATGGTGATGGTATATTTTCTCTATGCTCATGATTGTATGCAAATTAGACAAAATCGCGCAGCTCTAGGACTACTTTTAAGAATTGACCATTTTTCCGGTGAATCCGAATTTCCACAGAGCCACCTTTCACGGGTTTTATCGTTCAGATTGGCCACCCACCACTCCAATCGGTTCCTTGTCTGTTCCGTTTGAAAGAAGATAGTCATACCATTCAAGTAGTGGCTCAATCTTAAGATGTGGTAACCAAATTGCCGAAAACCAGTCATGTTAACATGAATCGACACGCATTTTGCTCGGGACTTTTCCAGGTTTTTCCGTTCCGGCTGGCCAACCACAGGTCCAATTGGGTTTCTATCTATTCAAAATATAATTAGATAGCCATATCTTTCGATTGGTGGCTGAATCTTAACGATTGGTCATTGCATTGCTGAGAACCAGCCATGTCCATCGACACGCATTTTGCAGCCTTGGGGTTAAAGGGTGATACGGTCAAAATTTGGTCAATATCAACTTGACGTATTTCTTTCAATTTTGCATTTAAAAAACCTGAACACCCCTCATTTTGAAGGTGTGTGTGTGTAGAATGTTGCTCCTATTTTGATTTTGGAATTCACTCTTCAGTTGTCAAAATGCCGTCCAAGCAAGAAGAGCAGCGTATCAAAATTTTGCTCGCGCATCGCGAAAATCCGAGCTACTCGCACGCAAAGTTGGCAAAATCGCTAAAAGTTGCCAAATCAACCGTTACAAATGTAATTAAAGTGTTTGGGGAACGTTTGTCGACAGCCAGGAAGTCTGGATCGGGGGGAAATCGAAAACCGGAAGCCGCTGAGACGACAAAGAGAGTTGCCGGTAGTTTCAAGCGAAACCCTAACCTCTCTCTCCGAGATGCCGCAAATAAGCTGGGTGTATCGTCTACAACCGTGCATCGAGCCAAAAAACGAGCCGGACTATCGACTTACAAGAAGGTAGTGACTCCAAATCGCGATGATAAACAAAATACGACGGCCAAAGCGCGATCCCGGAGGCTGTACACGACGATGCTGACGAAGTTTGACTGCGTGGTAATGGACGACGAAACCTACGTCAAAGCCGACTACAAGCAGCTTCCGGGACAGGAGTTTTATACGGCAAAAGGAAGGGGAAAGGTAGCAGATGTTTTCAAGCACATGAAACTGTCAAAGTTCGCAAAGAAATATCTGGTTTGGCAAGCCATCTGTACCTGTGGCTTGAAAAGCAGCATTTTCATAGCTTCCGGGACTGTCAACCAAGAAATTTACGTGAAAGAGTGTTTGAATAAACGTCTGCTGCCTTTCCTGAAGAAACACGGTTGTTCCGTACTGTTTTGGCCGGATTTGGCATCTTGCCATTACGGTAAAAAGGCCATGGAGTGGTACGCCGCCAACAACGTGCAGATGGTTCCCAAGGACAAGAACCCTCCCAACACGCCAGAGCTCCGCCCAATTGAGAAATACTGGGCTATTGTCAAGCGAAACCTAAATAAGACCAAAAAAACTGCTAAGGGCGAGCAGCAGTTCAAGGCAAACTGGCTTTCTGCGGCGAAGAAGGTGGACAAGGTGCGTAAGGCCCGGCAATTCGGATTTGGAAAAGCGGAAGCCTAACTGAATATTTTTCCTGAATTTTATACTAATTGAACTTGAAAAAGAAATTTAATTTGATTTTTTAAATAAACGATTTCACCGATTTACACGCGTTTTCCCTTGACCAAATTTTGACCGTATCACCCTTTATGTCAGTTAAAGATCATTGCACACAAAATCAACTTTGGTAAAATCCAAACAAAAACACTAGCCCTCGCACTAGCCCATGGTGGCTTATGGCACAAGCTTCTAAGATAACTCCTGCAATGATTTTGTTTGTAAGACTAATTAAGGTTTAAAAAACAATATTTATAGATGGTCGAACCACAGACAAACAGACATAACTCTCGCAAGTTGTTCATCAAACAAGCATTTAGCGGACAATTTAAAAGTATTGTAGCTGGTAGTATTACGTTTACACACTACCAACATCTGTTCAGCGTAGTGCCCACCACAGTGTACTCAACAGATGGCGGTAATGTTTTAGCGTCGATGTTTTACAGTGAGAAATATTCAATGGGTTATGTCTGTTTGTCTGAGGTCGACCTCTGTTACTTACAATAGCTGTTTTCTGTTGGTTTTTATTTTTAAACTGGTAGTTAATAGCAACAATTCAACATACCTAGCAATCACGACTCGTCGTGCGAACATAGCATTAGGTCAATTTGAAATGGTTCACATGTTCGTTAAGTTTATGGCAGCTTGCGTCCAAGTTTGTACGTAAGCCTCGGTGTAAACTAAGCGTTCCTTAGCAAACGGATTGAGTGATAAGTAGCTGTTATATCCAGGGTTGGTTCCACTCACTTCGCTATAAAAAATATTTTACAGAATTCTGAAATCATTAGATGTTAGAATCGTATGTTGTACCTGTAATTTTCACGAAGAGGTTGACATATGAAATCGTTTTAAGATTTTGCGATTTATTTATCTATTATTATTATTATTATTTATCTGATGAGATGTATGTAGTCTTCATTCGAGAATCGAGCTGTAAATCATCAAACTAAGCTAAATATAATCAGGGTTGCTTTCCCTCACTTCGCTATAAATAATATTTCTTAGAATTCTGAAATCATAGATGTTATAATAATCTTTCAGAGCGTCGCAATGAACGATTTTATGATTCGTGAGCATTTACTCAGAGTGAGCGCTCACGCTCACGAATCGTAAAATCGCTGATTGTGATGCTCTGAGAGCAATATGACAGGTTTTATGTGTCAAACGCATACTTTACAACCTGTTCTTGTAACCCTTGTAACTTACAAGTACTAATTATCATTATAACATCTAATGATTTCATAATTCCGAAAAACATTTTAATAGCCTTGGAGTCAAACATATACATACTTCACAACCTCTTCTTGTAACTTACAAGCACAAAATATTATTATAATGACTTCAGAATTCTGAGAAATACTCTTTACAGCGAAGTGATTGAAACCAACCCTACTTACATAAAACTTAGTTTGATGATTTACAGCTCGATTCTCTCGAATGAATGATACACATATTTTTTGAAAGGCTTTTAAATATCAACCAATAACTATATTCTGGCACAATGAATTTTTCAAAACTGTTCAGTTTCTCCAGAAATCTTCAGAACTTATGAAAACAACTCGTGCGGTACATTTCGTCGCCAATCAATCAACTATCGCTGCCATAAAACTCTTCCGCCGATAAACACACTAACAATGCTGTGGGATCTCTCTCATTTGGCGCAGCTCAACTCAACTCAACACAACATTCGAGATCTCTTCGCACTCTTCATACTTGAGCGGACCACGATCGCGTACGGACCGGTTTCTGTCGTAGCTCCTCAATGCGTGCATCGTCTGGAGTTCCTATATCCAATACATACATCCTCGGTAAAAAAAAAAACAAGTAACTCAAAACAGTGTATTAGTGACAACTCTAAGCTCAGTGCAAGTTCTTTTGTTATTAATCATGTAACCGGAGTGGAGTGCACTGTGTGCAAAACATACATCATTCCTGTCAACATTGTGTCTCAAAATAATTAAATAGTGCCGCACCCCTTCGCCGTGTGCTGCTCTAAATGCCATACGTGTGCAAAACTAGTGGAATGCAGCAATTGATCAACCATATGAAAAGAAAGCGTGTCTATTTGCAAATAACATCGACCAGAAGTGATTTCTCTAATTACCCTCTCACACGAGCTGCAAGTTGAAGTTACGTGAGTCAAATTTTTTGATGGCTAATCAATTTACGCTGCTCGAGGCAAGTGAATAGAAGAAAGAAGCAGCTCAAGTAAACGCAGTGCCAGTGTAGTGGTGATACTGTGTTTTTGATACTGTTGTGCAATTTTTAAGTAATGGTAGTTGTATGCGCTGGAATTGAAGCTGACCAATGTGTCAATCATAACAACAGTGTAACTTGAGTGAGTTGAATATTCCTGCGTGGCATACTTGGATTTTGGAGCGACTGGTGGATGGAGAGTAGGTGCGTTCAGTAAACCATCATCTGTCAACTGTCACTATCATAGAGGTTAGTGTTTAATGTCAGGTCATGTTTGTTTCTCCTGAAAGTAAACATACTGTGGAAAACAATCATTCTATGTGTGCAATTACCATCTTGTTTATAGTGTTGTTTTGCAAACATTGGAAGCGAAGGAAGAGTGTCAGGGAAATCACGCAGATGGAGGTCTCTATTTATAAACTACGGTATATTGTTTCCCTGCAGTGGTGAAAGGTGAAATGAAATGGCTCGTTCTATAGCATCCAGATGATTCATTTAGCTGTGGAGCGATGTAGCTGTTTATTTAGATGAAGCATCTCTTGTTCCAAGAATTACTTTCTCATAATCTTTGTGATTCAAAACTTTGAATCGGGTCACGCCCAGTAAATTTCTCAACAACGGATCACTTATTGCGGCTAGGTAGAATTTGTGCTGCCGTTAGCATTCTCAATTTTCTCAGCAGAACTTCACCAAGGTCAAGCGGTGTGGAACCGAGACAGGTAAAAACGCTTGAGACTGAGCAAATAAAAATGACTCCTTCAAGTCCCGTCGCAGACTGACACGGAAGCGAAAGTTCTTGTGAATAATCGCATCTCGATTGAGCACTAGTATTGGGAATGACTCATCCTCGTTGAATTGATGTTGCGGTTAATCGTCGATTAAATCCAATTGAGTCAACTTACTAGCGACAACCGCATTCCTGCGTCACAACATACGGCGGTGACTGGAAGATAGGAATGAGACTCTTCAGCTTTTGGTGTGTGATGTGGGGGATGGTCTTATCGGTGATTTTGACGGATGTGATATCAGAGATATGCCTTCGTATCAGTTGAAGATATCGAAGCAAGTGTGGCATTCTTGGTGTAACGCACATATCTGTATTATTGCGGTGAGCTGGAACTCGTTTATGCTCCAATTGAGCTTTGAACACATACGCATAGTAATGAAAAAGTTGGTGAAAACTCACTATGACTTGCAAACTGTTCTCTTGGGGTGAGTTCGTAGAATTGCACGACGATGTTGATGTGGAGCAGTTATCTGATTGATTGCGGGATATTTCGATCAGGTATATTGACAAATCAAAGTAGGCTCCCATGGAGAATAGAAGAACTATGAAAATGATGATTATTTCAGAATTTTCCACGGGGCGGTATACGATTTCAATATCACATAACATATGTGGAACTTTATGCATAATCTGACTTAAAGTTGTCCCCTTTTTTGTGTTGTCTCAGTTTTATAACTCGTATAATTGGACATCGATCTGTCCAAATAAATTGTTCAGGATATCAAAACTGAGCGTTCTCTATCACTCAACCAAATATACGCCTTAATACAATGTGTTAAACTTCATAGACTGTTGCAGTCGACGTTAAAAATTAAGATGTATAAAGCTTCACACATAGGAAAGTACAGTTCAATACCATATTGGTTCTATGTGTGGTGATAATTCTATATGCCCTTGGACTAAAATCTATCAGATGTAACTTACGTATCCGAGTGTTTATTACGTTAGAATTTAATCTATGAGACACATGAGAATAATATTTTATGTTAATTACTGTACTCGAAAAAAATGCAGGACTGCCTCGCGTACAAGAAGCGTACCAACAATGTGAAGCGTTTCACAAAAGAACGCTCCAAGTTGACGTATGCAGAAACGATTAAGTTGGAAAATGGAACCTCTGCTTCGTTGGCATCAGCCGCACAAAATGGAGACACTTATGAGATTTTGTCTTCTAATGAACTGGACTCTGATATAGCAGACGAGAGTGAGTCTCCGGAGGTACAAGCTCCCGTTAAAAGGAAGCCGACTAGCTCTCCGGGAGTGCGCTGGAAAAAAATTAAAGCCACTCTCAAAAGTTTGCAAAAATCTGGAGGATACGGGGATTTATTGAAAAAGCCGAACAAATCGGTAATTTCTGCTCCATCTGATCCTTACTGCAGCTATTCCACCCCGCCGCTACCAAATAAAGGTAATCGTAAGAGGTTACCAAAAATAAACCCCACGTCTACTCGCAATTCAAAGAAAACTCTCCCGTCCAAGCGAGGAAAGATTAAGTTTAAGGACATTGTGGATAATATTTTGAATGCCCTCGGCTTTCCCGACGAATCGCCACTTTGAGGATTTATTGACCTGCTTGTTCCTATAGTCGCAAACTACTTCAAGCAATTGACTGTATCATGGCCCCTCATTGGTGAATTCATATCTTTCGATGGATAATTCGTCGAGTGAGGATCAAGATATGATCACTTTATAACAATGGAACTGTCGTAGTTTAAAACCTGAATTAGACTCGTTCAAGTATTTATACTTGCACTCTGTGAAACTTGGCTTTCGTCGGAAACTGAACTAAACTTCCACGATTTTAACATTATCCGCCTGGATCGAGATGATTGATATGGTGGCGTACTTTTGGGGATCAAAAAGTGCTACTTCTTCTATAAAATCTCAATCCCAATAATTTCAGGCATTGAAATTGTCGCTTGCCAAATAAATGTGAAGAACAAAGATCTTTGCATAGCTTCTGTATATGTCCCTCCAAGGACTTCCATAAACCGCCGTCAGCTTGGAGTTCAGTTAATATCCTTCCATCTCCAGTTCTAATACTGGGCGATATGAACTCACACGGTTCTGGCTGGTGCGAATCATACGATGACAATAGAGCGGGTATTTTTTATGATTTGTGCGACGATTTCAACTTGACTATCTTGAAGACTGGTGAAGCAACACGTATAGCAAAACCTCCTGCTCGAGAGAGCCGTCTTGACATATCTTTGTGCTCTAACTCACTATCATTAGATTGTATGTGAAAGGTTATCAATGATCCCCATGATAGTGATCACTTACCAATTATTATTTCAATCAAAAGTGGTCGTCTAAAACAGATCAGTCAATTCAAGTTCCTTTGGACCTCACGAGGAACATTGATTGGCAAAAATTTGTATCGGCGGTAACTCTTGGTGTTGATTCTACTGATCCTTTACCACCATTAGAAGAGTATCGTTTCTTTACCGAACTAATCTACAAAAGCGCATTAGAAGCTCAGAAACGACGTGTTCCAATGACGGGATGACGAATACACAAAGTTGTATCTTGAGAAATCCGATGCCTTTAAAGATTATCGTAGACATGAAAGATCTGAGCTTTTTGAAAAATATCTAAAGCTTGAAAAAAAGCTTAACACCTTACTAAAAGCACTCATCTACCAATGAGAGTGAAGAATACTCCTCTAAATGGATATTCGACTTTGCTAAAAATGTTTGTCCAGACTCTGTCTCAGCACAACCGACTTTACGGGATACAACCCGAAGCAACGGTTCTCTAGATGAACCATTCACAATGCTGGAATTTTCAATGGCACTTCTTTCATCGAATAACTCTGCTCCGGGAAGCGATATGACCAAATTCGACCTTCTAAAAAACCTCCCCGATATCGCTAAAAGACGATTACTTCACCTATATAATTCATTTATGGCATTCAATATAGTTCAACCAGCATGGAGACAGGTTAAAGTAATAGCTATTCAAAAGCTTGCGTAAACCAGCGTCTGATCACAATTCTTACCGTACGATCTCTTTGTTATCATGCCTGAGGAAATTATTAGAAAAAATGATCCTATCAATACTTGACCATTAGGTTGAATCAAACAACCTACTTTCAAATACGCAAGAGTAAAGGAGCAAACGATTGTCTAGCGATGCTTTCATCTGATATTCAACTGGCACAGTAGTGGATTACCCGGTATTTCAAATAATTTATTGTATAATTTGCTGTCAGAAAAACAAATGACCTGCAAACTAGGTCAACTGACAACTTCTAGAATTAGCTACATGGGCTTACCCCAAGGTTCATGTTTAAGTCCCTTGCTTTATAATTTCTATGTCAAAGATATTGATAACTGCTTAGATAATCTATGCACGCTTAGACAGCTTGCAGACGATACCGTGGTTTCCATGAGAGGTCCACGTGCAGAAATCTTGCAAAGACCATTGCAAAATTCCTTAAATAATCTGTCTCTCTGGGCAAGAAATTTAGGGATCGAGTTTTCACCGCAAAAAACTGAATTGGTAGTGTTTACAAGGAAGCGGTTTCCAGCCCAACTGCGTCTAAATCTTTTGGGCAGAGACATTACCCAATCTTTAACCTTCAAATACCTTGGAGTCTGGTTTGATTCAAAATGCACTTGGGGTACCCACATTACGTATTTGAAACAAAAGTGTCAACAAAGGATCAACTTTCTACGATCAATTTCCGGGACATGGTGGGGTGCTAACCCGGAAGACCTCATTAAACTATATAAAACGACTATTCTTTCAGTTCTTGAGTATGGCTCTTTTTGCTTCCTCTCGGCAAGAAAAACCCACCTAATTAAATTGGAACGCATTCAATATCGTTGTTTACGTATTGCCCTTGGCTGTATGCATTCAACACACAATATGAGCCTAGAGGTACTAGCGGGCATAAAACCCCTGCAGAACCGTTTCTGGGAGCTCTCATTAAGAATATTGATTAAATGTAGTGTCAGTAACAACCTTGTGATTGAAAACTTCGAAGAAATGCTCGAATTGAGCATCCAGTCTAGATTCGTGCGAATCTATCTTAATTATATGTCATCGGATATTAGCCTTCCTTGCTATAACCCCCCTCGTGTATGCTTCACTAACTACAGTTCTCCCATTGACTATAATCCCTCCATTAAACAGGCTATTCAAGGAGTTCCAGATCAACTTCGACCTATCTCAATTCCCCGCATTTTTGCTGAAAAGTACCAACAAGTCAATTGCAATAGAAGATTTTTCACTGATGGATCACGCATTGATGGATCCACTGGCTTCGGCGTCTTCAATGAATACTCAACCGCCTTTCGGAAACTTCAGGAACCTTGTTCCGTTTATGTTGCTGAGCTAGCAGCAATCAACTTCGCATTGGGGATGATTTCCGATATGCCCATAGACCATTACTTCATCTTCTCGGATAGTCTCAGTTCGATTGAGGCTATTCGGTCGATGAAACAAGGTAGGCACT